CTATAAAGTGACACAGATTGGAAAGGAATGCGTGTCTTTAGAATTATTACCTCTTTTAAATAATTTGACTATTTCTATTACAGTAAATATGTACACATATTATATGGTAATATGTACATATAAATAGTGTATGTTTACTCAAATTTGTTTGCCATTCTGGTGATGCTTCATAATACCAGCTCACACAAGTTCACCAGCTCACACTGTATTTCGTACATTGCTGTCCTCTTCTACACCAGAAGGTCAGCTTGTGAGGTATATGCATCCTAGTGCATGTGCCCCTTGTGTTGGCACTCTTGAATAAATGCTCATTGTGTGATTAGTTTCTCACCCACCCCACCCCATTACTCAAATGGAATTCTCAAAATGCCGATAGTGTGAATCAGCCTACAGTTTCAGCCTGCATGAAATATATACTGAATCGGTAATTGAAGAGCTTTCAAGAAAAGCCCTCCCCTCCCGTTTTTCCCCCTGTAATTTCTTTCCAAGAACTCACAATAACGTGCTCAAGAATGCTGAGGCTCTCTCTAGCTTTAAAAAAAAAGGGTATTCCATCCCTTTCCAAAGGAATCCCAGGATGCACTTGGTTCACAAAAAGGCCTGTTGCAAAGCAGCCAATGTGATGACATCATGCAGGCCTTTGGCCCATGGAGGTTGGCTTGCTAAGCATTTGATAGCGTTTCAGTAATGGATAGTCTCTGGCAGACTGCCCTGGAGGGAATGAGAATATTCCATTGGTCTGGGAAAGCCTGTATCAGTTGCTGCCTTTCCTTTCTCAGGAGTCTTTAATCAGATTTATGGAAACCGCTTTTAGGGGCAGATTTTATTTAAAGCTGAGAACAGTGAAAATGAACCTGGGAAAATAAACACTCGCAATATACAGACGTGCACAAGAGAAAAAATGGGAAAGGAAAGGAAGGAGAAAACAGTTAAACACTTGGGAATTTTTTTTTTTAATTAAGTATTTCCTTTATTATTCTTTTTGGTTTGCAGTGCTTTAGAAGCAAAGCTTAATCATTTCTCCTGAAATTGAGAAATCAAGAATGCTTCCTATCTACTTTAAGGAACAAAAGTTGGATTTGCATCTTATTAAACATAATGTGGTTTGATTGATTTTGCATAGCAAGTTGCATAACCCCAGCTCAAGTATTTTGTTTGCTAAACCATCTTTAAACATGGTTTACTATGTTTAGTTGACTATGTTTACTATGTTTCCTTAGAGAAGGAAAGCTAACATACGACTGATGTATGTACAGTATACAGAATGAATACTTTGTCTTCATGTATACATAAGGGTGAAAATGGTTCTTGGGCCAGGTGAGTGGAAAGGCTGAAGCATTAACAAAGAGTAAGTTATAGGGAGAAACTTGATCTCAGCATCCCAGAGATCAAAGGTGGACATACAACAGCAGTGTAAGATAGGTGGGAAAAAGTAGAACAAAAATGTACAATTCATTTCCTGTATGGGGAATGCAGAAGGGATTGGGCTGTCCTCGCAATACAACTGGAAAAATCAAGGCCGAGCATCTCGTTTTCCAGCTGTGAAAAACGCATAACTAAAAGTGGGCAAAACATTTCAGAATTCAAACGTCCCACTTTGTGGAATGGCTGTTTCAAGGACAAAACAGGCTGTTCCAATTTCTTTGGGGGGTGTTCTGAGCTCAAGAGCCTTCTGAAATGATGAAAGGAACAGTTTTTCACAAGAAGAGAAAAGGAAATCAAATTCAAAGCAATTAGAATCCAGAAACATTTTGTACACGATTCTGTGTAGCCAAGCCAGGAGAAGTGGTCTAGGAGTTTGAAGCAGAGGTGGGAAACCATGGCCCCTTTATGACTTGTGGACTTCAACTCTCAGAATTCCTGAGCCAGCATAGCTGACTCAGGAATTCTGACAGTTGAAGTCCACAAGTCATAAAAGGGCCACACTTCCCCACCTCTGGTTTAAAGAGATGTTGGTACTTCTGTAAAAGTTTGCTACATTTGTACAAAAAGAAAAGGCAAAAATGAGGCAGCAAACACTTTTAGTGCAAGCTCTGCAAAGTACCCCAGTACTAGGGGTAGGACTAATCCATCACTTAATAAAGGTCACATCACATTTCCTTGGTTGGATGAGGTTTAATACATATACAGTCCACATAGAATATTTTCAGAGAGGCTCCATTTCTACCTTTAAGAACACAGCAACAGGAATCATAATCAGTGGAAGATGATTAGGTTCTTCTGGCTCACAAGGCAAGACAAAACTTTTTTCATTATAATTTGGAAAGGTCGCTCTGATTTGAATCTACCACACCTTGACCATAGAAAAAGCCTTGGACATCTACATTTCTTTGGTTTTTTAGGGGGGAGGGGAAGGACACTTAAAGTTGCAGGGAGCTCCTCCAAGACCAAGGAATTTACTGAAAAAGGAGCACTGGAAAATATATTCCGTTGTGGGAATGTTCCCTTCCCTTAGGGGAGATTTTAAATGTGAAAAATATGTAGCAAATCCTGAGGATGATTAACATGTTTATTTGTGTCTCTGAAAGACAAACATTACATTCTAAATGTACTAATTCAAAACAATGTATGTGGCCCAGAACCAAGAATGACACGTGGCAGTTCTTCCAAGCTGAGTTCTTTATTGTTTCACACCTATAGAGGAAATCTTGCCAGACTGAGCACTCTACTGTCTGCATCTACAGTATTTTATGTAAGCTATTAGGGAGGGGTTGTCCTCACCCTCTTTCTCTCACACATGATATATGGGCTCAGCTGCCAATCTTATTCCTCTGGAATAAATCCCCAGTTCAATCTTCTACTCAGATTCTGTGGCTGAGGTGAATTTAATGTTGCTGTTCACCAGGGCTGCTTTTTACAATCCAATGCAATCTATTTGAATGAAGTGGGACATCAACAATTCTGAGCCACGAAACACTAGTTGGAGATTATTAGAATTTTAATTCTAATTTTAAAATTTTAAATCACAGTTGAGGATATCTAATTTAGGATGTGTTTTCCTGATAGCTAGGAACCTATCTATGTTGGAATGTAAATTCATGACTTACAGAAGTGGCTCCCTTTCAGCTGAGTGTATTATAGGAGAAGGTAAACAGTGCCCTATCAGCTCCACCATCATAGATGTAATTGTTACTGTTATTACATAAATTACATAAATTACATAAAGTAATTGTCATTGTTGCAGTTTGCAACTTCTGGAACTCTCATGTTGCCTATCTCTGATGCAAGAGGAATTGTTTTTGGAAGAATTAAACCTAATATCGTATCAATATAAAAATAGGATATATCTTGTCTAAATTATCTAAGTATTTAGAACAGGCTGAAGAAGAGAACAAAATTTCTAGGGAGCATTATGTGGGCTAAGGACCTAATTAAATACGAATGGGCTCTCTAAGATGTCTTTTCTGCTTATATATTTAGATAAGATATATCCTATCTTTATATTGATAGGATATTAGGAGCCATGGTGGTGCAGAGGTTAGATTGCAGTATTGCAGACTAATTTAGCTCACTGTCAAGCATTTTATCCTCACCGCCTCAAGGTTGACTCAGCCTTCCATCCTTCCAAGGTCGGTAAAATGAGGACTCAGACATATACCACATCACAGTGCTTTACAGCCCTCTCTAAGCGGTTTACTGAACTCAGAAGGATGGAAGGCTGAGTCAACCTTGAGCTGGTGAGAATCGAACTGCTGCATTGCTGGCAGTCGGCAGTCAGCAGAATAGTGGTGCAGCAAAAGCAGGCAAATGTTGGTCAGCATTGCCAAGTCTAAAAGTCTTTGATCTCTAAACACTCCCTAGTTATCCCAGATAGCAGAGTCTGCAAGTGGGTGGGAACTAGCTTAGGGAATTTTCCCTAAGGAACATGTTTCTGATTCTGCTTCTATTCTTTTTCTCTGCTGTAAAGACAATTAAATCATTCAGAGTCTCTATAGCACTCACACTTTTAGGATTATGGGAAGACAAAAGTTGCTGTTGTGGAGTTTAACTGTATGTCCTCAGGACTTGGATATGACTCAAGAATACAAATGCTGCAGTACTACAAAGGATAGTGAAGTACTTGTCATGCTTCATCTTATATTAAATAATTTCATAGAAAGTTCTTTGTCAAATAGAGTGTTTTCTTTGCAGGAGGCTTTATTTAGCTGGAAGAAAAAGTCAAACTTCAGCTAAAGTTCTCCCCAACTTTATGGTTTTCAAATAAAAGGAGGGTTTGAGCAGTGACAGAATAATTATCTCTTGCCATCACAATGATAAACTATGTACCTAGTACCCACTAGAAACTCTTTAATACATTGTGATTAAAATGTATTAACTCATTAAAACACATTAAAATGTGTTGCTCTCTATAGATCTGCTGCATTATCATGCAACCAGAAGTAAAACATGCTGCCCCCTCTCTGAAATCATCTTTGGCTCTGACCATGAAGCTATGAGGGGGACCACTGTTAATACTAGAAATAAATGACAAAAGGCAAGAACAAATTGGCAGCAAATAAATCCAGTCTTTCTTCCCCAATATCTTTATCTTCCCAATAAAGCAAAGTGAGATGTGCTACTGAAGCCCCGGCTTCAATCTGAGATTGTGGCGATAAATCTTACTTAGATGCTTAGAAGTGGCATAAAGTCACTTTGGGTGCATCCTGAAATTCTGAAAAGGATTGTCTGTCTGAAAAGGAAAATGCTATCCTCCCGTCTGTTCAAAAAGAAGTATTTACTAAACTAGAGTAATTTGTTTGACCAAGAAATGTGCTCTGAATTTTATATGTTCTCTGCGTTCAACTCGGATGTCTTTCAGTTTCTCTGTGGATGCCAGAGTTGGTTCTACATATGGCCTTTTTGTACAAATAACCCATGCAAATTGCTGCCCAATTTGTGGTATCTTCTGTGGACTAGGTTATTTATTCTAAAATAGGTCTTTACTGAACACTTAGTGTCTCAATGATCCGCTTGTCCAGTTGGACCTGATATTTCTAAATCATATGTCTTCTTTCCTGCAGGTGTACATTATCAAGGTCACTTGGTCCAATGGCTCAACAGAGGCAATTTATCGACGCTACAGCAAGTTCTTTGATCTGCAGGTAAGATTTCTAAATTCCTCTCAGAGACTGGAATTTTCATTTCATGGAGTGGTAATGTTATTTTACTTGATTTTGTGCTCACACGGTATCTTTAGGGCAACATCTTTTATACTTGCATGCAGCTATTGGCCTAATATTACTGCCTTGGGTGCTATTTTAGACTTGATACAAAAATAATTCACACTATTTGTCTCCAGACTTTTGCTCAGCTGTTTTCTTTTCCTTTGTAATGGCTAGCAGGAGACTTCTTTCCTATAAATATATAAGTGCATTAAGAGCATTTATAACAATATTAAAATACCAACTTTTAATCAAAATCAAAGCGTATCTATAATTATTATTGAGCAATCCAAAGAATCATATCTATATCTGATCAGAGATAAGAAAGATTCTACTTGGGTCAATCCAAAGAATGTTTTTCAATGGTCTAGACTAGGTCATAGCCATGTTCATATTAGTAACCTAAATAGGAAGAGCTTTATCAATTACAGTTCAAACTAATGTTAGTGGCTTTTATTAAATCTGTTAACTCCATGTTGTTTGCTATTTGGCTTCCAATTACTGTACATGTTTCATTTTCTTCTATTGTACTTTTTGTCTTGGTATAAAAAAGAAAATTGGATTAATATGTGATGATAACTTTCTCTTCAGTTACTTCAGACAAAGGAATGATTTTCATAGGAACAGGACTTTTTCTATGAGCTCATATTGTTTTGTGATGGGCAGGAGATTTTAGATGCCACTATTAAGAGAATATTTGAGGCTCAGGGCTGAACGTTGTCTTTGAGCATGGTTGTTTTCTTGTAGACATTTTTTTTAAAAAAATTTGATTTATATGCCGCCCTTCTCCGAAGACTCAGGGCGGCTTACAATGTGCTCAGCAATAGCCTTCATCCTTTTGTATATTTATACAAAGTCAGCTTATTGCCCCCACAACTGGGTCCTCAGTGCACTGATGATGTTACCCTTATGGGTAATGAAATGTCTGCAGGAAAAACAACCAAGCTCAGAAAGTACCAAGGATCCCACAGATGCCACTATTTTGAAAGGAAAATGTTTTTGGCACCTGAATAGATTTTATTTGTTTATTTAATGAATTTCTAGGCAGCATATCTCAACTCTGGCTGGTGAATAATATTAAAACGAGTTAAAAGCAGTTCCAGTCAGAAATAACAAACACTAAAATACACAGTAGCTGAGGAAGGTATCAAATCAACAGTCACTAATACAGCCAGGAGGCAAGTTTGTCCACTTACTCAGAGCCCTCGGTCCAGTCATAGAATCAGATCTTGAGGGCCTTATGAAAGGTTTTTAGTATTGTGATCACTAATCTATCTGGCTGATATTGTGGAAACTTTGCTTGGTATAAGAACTATTGTTTTAATTCTTTGCCGAATTGTATCGCAGAATTCCTGCCCTTTAAATTTTGATACTTTTTTTTTTCAAAGGAGGCTTTTGAAATATTTGGACAGCAATCCTTGAGCAGCATAACCAAGATCTACTTGGTTTTTTCCCTGTTTCTAAAGCTGACCTTCCAGAGTTTTGAAAAAATTTGTAAGATTTTAAAACAAAGACCTGTTTTTCTTAGAAACGTATGTCTATTTTCCTATATGTTTTCTGCCTCCACATCAGTATTCCTCTCTGTTCAAATCAGATGTGTGATATGCTGAGTTAATTTGCTCTAATCCCAAGGAAGTGAGTGAATATATTACACAATGCTTCTGTGCAAAAGGACTATAAAAGCTTGACTATTATCATTCTCTAGTATCTTTAGCCAAGCTGCATTAAGAGTAGAATTTGTCCTGCCATGATTTGTAAATAAGACTACCTTAACATGATCCTCTGCCTACTTACAAATTCTAATCTTTAAATTTACACTTGCTCACTTGTAAAAATGTTTGTTATTGCAAACATTTTACATTATATAGTTCAAGCACTGCTGTGTCTTAATATTGTTATTATTTCAGAAGTCATTTCAAACAAATCAAAACATTTTTAGCATCAAATTATAATTGTAGAAGAGCGGCTGAGTTGGAAGGCGGAATTAAATATGTCATCAGTTTGGAGTCATTGTGTTGCCACAAGAGACCCAAGTCCAGCTGCCCCATGAATTCCATTGACCCTTACCCAACGCCAATTTAGCTTTGACCATTAGTTGACTAGATTCTTGTGTATAGCAGGGGTGAAATCTACTTACCTTCCCTACTGCTTCGTAAGTGCGCATGCCATCGTCACATCCAATTTTTGACCCTCTGCGCATGCGCAAAGCCTTTTGTGCATGCGCAGAGGGTAAAAAACAGCTTACTTCCTGGTTAAAACTAGGAAGTAACGACATCCTGGCAGGTGGGCAGAGCCTCACGCTGCCACTGCTACTGGTTCACCTAACCACGTGCCGTCGCCACTACCGATTTGCACAAGTCGCGCAAGAACTGGCAGGATTTCATCACTGGTGTATAGGTAGCAATAATAAACTCTTCTTACTTTAAATAAATGAATGCTCCTGGTTATTTGCTCCCGACAATAACTGTTGATTGTAGTTTATCTAGCAGAAGCTATGCCTCACTGTTGAATGCTGTTTTGTTACTTAATTTAAGCTTAAAAGTATGAATTGTTTGTTTGTTTGTTTGTTTCCTGCCTTTATTATTTTTATAATAAAGGCAGGAAGTAGACATATCTAATATTCTTTCCAATTTTCATGAAGTCTGGTGCTTTTCTCTGAAGTACTGTAGTCTGGTAGTACTAGCTTTTGGTCTCAGTCCATGCAGGGCTTTCCTGCATTGGCAGCTAGCAGAAGACTCATTCCACCAGGCCCCCAGAATAAGCCAAGCTGGCTGAAAAGTCGCCTTGATATTAAATCTCTGCTGCTTTTTATGCACTTCTCAGTTGAGTCTTACTTTTTGGAATTATCTGAGAAATTCCCCCATATTGTGCCAATATCCAAAATAGAATGAGCAAGTGGTGCATAAGGAAAACCCATTAGAGATACCTGACTCTGGAGCAGTGTTTGAAATCCAAAATCCATGAATGGTTTGTTATGTAATCAAAAGCCTGAACCTTATGAGGAGGTGGGGGGGAAAGCCAGCTCTCAGCACTTCTGGGCATCAATTCTCTTGTTTGTGAATATGAGTGATGCGTATGATCAGACTGAATTCTATTTATCGCTGCTATCCTTTTCTTGGCAATGTCATTGACTGCAGTAAAGAGACTATATAGTATGAGTCTATATTTACAGTATTAGCCATAGGAAATCTCAGATTCCCAATCCTGAGTAACTTGAATAAGAAATGATCAGAAACACACACAGAGAGCCACAGAAGCAGGAATGCTATTATAGAGGGAAATGAGTATGGTAGCCTTTAAATAAACATGTGGGCACACCCTTAGCCACAACAGCATTGCTGAGAGACTTGAAGAGAGATTAGTGATTCCAAATTCAGGTAGGAATTGTATACCCCTCCAAGGTCCCTTCCAACTCTGTTATTCTATTCTATTCTATACTACCAGATAATCACAGGACTGTTAGTATAGACTGAGAAGTAAACAGCAACAATTCAGGGGAACAGTGTTAAATCCCTTCCGATTTTTTGCAATAAAAGTACCATGAATGTATCCATGCATTCATTGGGAGCCGAGTTTTGTTGAGGGAAGCTTTAGTTCTCTAAGGGAAAAAAAAAGTTGCTTCTCTGTGTTGCTTTCTTCAGCTATAACTAGTTTACCTCTTTCAGCCTTGCTGAATAAATCCCACGTAAAGTGTTTACTTCCTAATCCTGCAGATGATATGTTAAAAAAGTCAGCACCACTAACTGGATGCATACTAGGAAGAATACAAGTTGAAACACAGGCACTGCAAACTGGAAGATGGGATACCTTCAGAATTCCCAATTTAATTTTCTATCTGTCTTCATTCCCTCGAAAAAGTGATAAAATATACTTTTAGAGTAAATGATGAATCATTAGAGACCTATAACAAACAATGCTTGCCCTTTGTTACGGTTTCAAGTTGAAGGAAAAAGTTCAAATGGGAGCTAATGTCCGAACCACCATACAATCACTTAATAAGAAACTGTGGCAGAAAAGCTGTACCCAGCCATTTTTGACAGAATTGGGTCAAGTTTGCAAGATCCTGTTGTTAACATCTCAGACTTAGAGAAAATAAGTTAGTACCCCATTATCCTCTCTTAATGAAGATTTAGTCATTAATCGTAGGTATGCACTGACTGGAAATGATGCTTAAATTATGTTATTAATCTTCAAGAAGATTATATCTTATTTGCTATGATCTGGTTTCAATCAATGCTGCAGTTTACTATGAATGCTATTATGTGTAAGTCAAAGATTTGTTAACTTCCAGAAATGATACTCAAAAAGAAGTGATGATTTTGATATTCCTTTATTAGCTGAAGAGGTCATCAGTAACTGTTTGTAAGAACCCTATCTATACAAACACATTAGACGTGTGTCTTTTTGGATGTATGCATGAGCATATGGCTGACATGCCAAGACAAGATACAAATATTTTTCATTTTGCAGAATACTAAAATGCTGATTTAGGTGGTTTGATCTGCTGCTTTATATGTAAAAGCTTTCACACAGCCACAACATCTGACCCATTTTGTATAAAAAGCATAGGGCTACATTTTTCATTGTTTCGAGGGAATGCATAATGAAAAACGATTAAATTGGAGATGCCAAATCAGCAGTTTCATGTAAAAGAAGAAAAATTTCTGGATGGCTCTTATGAGATGTCAAATGACTTTTAAGTAAAAAATGCAAAGCTTTCAAAGAATTTATTAATGACTTGATACGCTGAACACTATTCATTTTTGCTGATCTAAGTAAATCATTCTGATGATAGAATTGAAGCTCTGGGTATATTGCTACCCCAAGAGCTTAGAAGAATAAAGAAAAGAGCATATGTCTTTTGTTAGTCAGGGCCATTTTTGGAGAACACATTAACCGCTTACAGATTATAATCTTTAACACAGCAGTGAAACATTCTT